GGTCTAGAAAATAAAATAAATAAAACAAAAACAATCAGGAAGGCTGTGGTATTTGGCCTGAAGGCTATTTTTGCTACTTCCTGCTACAAAACCTCCTGCAATCTAGCTAGAGGTTTGGCCAAAGGCGCACCTACTTCTTAACCACGTGCCCCTAGAATTGAGGTGAGGAATTCTTTATCAGATCCTGGGCAAGAATGAGGTCACACCTAGATGAATGGGAGGAGGCTGGACAGTGCTTCCCTGGCTGGCCAGGCACCTCAACAATTACAGGAAGGGTGAGTAAGACTAAGGTTTTAAGTAACTGTGTCTATCACAAATTATATTCCTCTTAATTTGGGTCTCCATTTCCATCAGTGTATTTACTTACTATTATAATAAATAATAGAATTATATAGTATTTATGATTTTTTTAAAAGACTAAACCCTTTTCAAATACAATCTTGGGAAAAAAAGTCTCTAAATACCAAACAGCAAAGTTGAAAGATTCTCTGGGCTAGAGATGTGGTTCAGTGTTAAAGTGCTTGCCTTGTGTGCAAAAGGCCTTGGGTTCAATCCCTAGGACAAAAACAAAATCCCTAGGACCAAACAAAAAAGGTTAAGTGCTGTAGAATTAAAAGAGAAGAGGGATGGAATAACTCTTCAGCTGCAGCATTCATACTGTAATAACACACCTATAAAGTCATAGAGGTCACCATTTTGTTGTTTTGTTGTTTCCAAATAACTCTTACCCAACTTTTTTTTTTTTTTTTCTTATTTAGTGGTGGTGGTGAGGATTGAATTGAAGGCCACTAGCATACTAGGCAATAAATGTGCTACTGAGCTAAATCTCCATCCCTTCTTTACAAACACTTCTCTTAATGTCCTTGAGTAATAGAAAAGAGGGAGAGAAAAGGATACCGAGTGAAAAAATTATTTGACACATCATTTATGAAAGTATTAAGGGAATTCATTATAAAGGAATCTATCCCACTTTTGTTTGCTTCTTTCATTTTAATTAAGGTATTTAGCTACCTTAATTTCTTTTTCTTTTTTAGACAAGATCTCACTATGCAATCCAGGCTGGTTTGAACTCACTTTGTAATTTAGGCTGGCCTTGAACTTTGTAGGGATTCTCCTGCCTCAATTTCCATTTGCTGGGATTACAGGTTTGTACTACCACACCTAGCTCCTTAATTTCTTTGTACGCCTTATTGCTTCACACAACTAAAGTAAGGTCAGATTTGAACTTTGTTTTTTTGTATCAGGGATCGAATTAGGACTTGCGCTTGCCAGGCAGGCACTTATGCCACTGAGCTAAATCCCCAGCCTGAACTTATTTCTTTTGATATTGTATTTCCTTTGCTGTCTCAGTATAACACTTTTTCTGTCCTAAGGCCAGCAAAATAATACCATTGTTAGAGCTGTATCATAGCGACCCTATTCTTAAATGGAATAGGAAAAGAAATAACCCACTACATTTCCCCCAAGTAAGTTTTGTTTTAAAAAGGGAAAAAAAAAAATCTCAATAAAGGCTATCAGTAAGGAGTGAAGTGAACCCTTTCGAGAATTCCTGGGTGGTGATTTACTATTCTGTGATTCTGTTAAGTTGTTAGCAAACAACTATTCAGTGGATGATTTGTACACAGCCAGTCTGAGACACATAATAGTTTTTTGTTGTTTTAAAACAGCATCTTGCTGCACTGCAGGCTGGCAGATAGCCCAGACTGGCTTTGGACTACCAATCCTTCTGCCTCTCCTGTGCTAAGATTTCAGGTGTATGCTACCATGACCAGTTTTCATCAGTGACATTTATTTATTTCGAGACAGGTCTTGCTATTTAGTGTTGCTGGCCTTGAACTCCCAGCAATACTCCTAACTCAACCTCTTGAATGCTGAAATTACAGATGTTTTCTATAGCTTCTCTTGATAACATTTTTGTTTTGAGACAAGGTCTTGCTATATAATTCAAGCTGGCTTTGAACTCTCCAGCTGTCTTCCTGCTTCCGAATCCTGAGTGCTAGGATTACAGATACACACCACCACTCTTATCCCTTGCCCACATTCTAAAGTGAGGTGATTTGGGGGGCCAACTAGGCAACAAATAGTGGTTTTGTTCAAGGAAAATGGGAATAGGGGAGATTCTGGTGAAGGAAATGTGAGTTTACCATACTCTTCCTAGGGAAATTTAGATTCAATAAAAGCATATTTCAGAGCTGGCATGGAAGCACACACCTATGATCCCAGCATTCAGGAGTCTGAGGTTAGCCTGAGGTACACAGTGAGACCCTGACTGAAAAAATGTTTCAAATTAGATCAGGGCTGCTGGCACATGATCTTTAACCTGTAAGACTAAATAAAAAGGCCTTAGAATGTCACCCAAAACTTTGTGGTCTGGTTCCTGCCTTACTCTCAAATTATTTTGTCCCACACCTCAAATTTATGTTTGTCACATGGAACAAACTTGTAGTTTGATACCCTGATGTTTTATGCTTTTATTGTATTCTTCCTGTCAGGATACCCTTTCCCACCTGATTTACTGGACATATTTTCACTTATTTCCAAGATAAAGTTCAAGAATCACTTTTTATTTTTGGTATCAGGGATCGAACTCATGACCTCGAGCTTGCCAGGTAGGCACTTTCGTCACTGAGCTAAATCCCTGGCAGAATCACATCTTTGAAGCCCTTTCTTATTTAAAAGAGGTAGCATAGTAACTTAATCATACCTTTTGTATTATTACATATCTACTATTTTGTTCTATCAGCACCTGTCTCAGTAGTTTGTACATACTTGTTTCCATGGCTCTCTCCTTCTACTGGCCTAGGAACCTCTTGAAAACAGAAATCATAACCCTATTCATTTTTGTGTCTCATCTTCTAGCACAAGGTAGAAAACAATCAGTGTTTGTTGAAAATATAAGCATAGGTTTAGAAATGAGGAAAAACTAGGGTGCATAGATGACTATTGGGCTGGTGTTTGTAGCTCAGTATACAATGTTTTCCTACCATACCTTGGCCTTGGATTTGGTCTTCCCACATGACAGAAGGAGAGAGGTGTCAATCTGCTGGTAGGAAACTATAGTTGTGACTAAAATTATAAAGAATTTGAAGTAAACCTAAGAAGTCTTAACAAGAGTTAAGTGGAGCCAGCTTGAAGATTTCAGTTCAAGAAAACATGGCACTGTAGCAAGAAATATGGTACTAAATCATGTACAGCTATAAAAATTATAAAACATTCTCATTCCTTCCAGTGGAAAGCAAAAATAAAGATGGTGTCTTTCTACTTTTCTGTAAGATTCTAAATGATTTGTTGCTTCTTGTCCAAGATGATTTTATTACACAAAAAGAAAAAATTTTAAACCAGCACATTAAAATTGTATGTTTCATATGATGTTAGCTTTGAAGAAAATTTTGGAGGTCTTTTCACAAGATAACTCATTTATTTATTTAGAGACAGGGTCTTGCTATGTAATTCAGGCTACCCTTGAACTCAGGTGATCCTCCTGCCTTACCCTCCCAAGTGCTGGGATGACAGGTGTGCACCACCATTCACACTGTAATTTAAAAGTATTGTATACCAATGAAAAAAACAGCAAATTTTGGTACTTCTTACCCAACAAGTTATTATTTAACATGTTTATTCTAATTCTTAATACTAATCTCACTGAATAAAAACAATTCAGTACTAAAACATAACTGGACAGGCACAGGATCAAAGACTGAAAATCACACTGGGCTTCTCTATCATATATATGTGATATATATATATATATATACACGATATATATATATATATATATATATATATATATATATGTAATTTCTTTTTTTAAGGCAAGGCCTCATTATGTAGTTCAGGCTGGCCTTGAACTTACTTATGTAGCCTAGACTGGCTTCAAAGGCATGGTGATCACCTACCTCAGTCTCCAGAGTGGTGGAATTACAGGCGAGCACCATTTCCAATGTATTTTAGACAAAGTAAATTTCCTATTTCACTTCAACATGGGACTAACTAGGAAAAGCTAAACTAGACCCAAATTCTTGGGAATAAGGAAAAGCGATCCACATGGTAACAATAGCTTCAAAGGGTTATCACCCAGGGAAAAACATAAATTTAAATAGAAAGTCCAGGTGCATATTTTATGGTCAACCACCTGAAACAGTACATGAGCAACAAATGGTCAATAAATATCACCTACTGACTTATATTTTATATATGCCTGTTAGTTTTCTTCCAAAGATGCATAGCCAGCTCTAAGGAGATAAATGAGAATTTCAGACGTTTAGAAATAAATGTCTCCATTCTTTATTTTTGTTTCCATTCCTATCAGACATTGGATGTGGTATGGTGGACAACAATTTTTCAGAATAAAAGCTATTGTTACAAAAGTATTATTTGATTACTATAGAAAAGGTAGAAAAACGTGGGTAAGAAAAGTTATGCTGGGACACACCATACTCCTTGTACATCCTTACAGCACTTTATAAAATTATTTGTTAAAAGTTAACTATCTTGTGTACTGTCGGCCTGGAGTCTCAGTATCTTTGCATATCAACACAGTATTCACTTGCAGAATTATTTTAAAGGCTGCTTGGCATTTGGATGTGATACAACCAATGTCCTGCCAATGACGTTTGGTATTTCTCGCTATTAGCAACAGTACTGAAAGGCACAGTGGTAACTTTTGAGATTACAATCACTGTCTTTCCTAGGACTTCAGTGGAATATGATGGCGTCCCTACGCCAACATGGAATATCTAGGTACTACCACCCCCGCCCCCTGGTCCCGCCGAAGTTCCTTTGTGCTGGGCAAAAAGCTACCTATCGCGTTATGCGCTGGTCTTTCACAGTCTGCGAGTCACTTAAGCATAGTAGCGAGGAGCGCCTCTGAAAAAAAAACAAACCTCACATGGCCGTACCAGCCTCAGACCGCTACCCTCAATACAATGTGGCGCTGCGCTCCCGGATGAGGCGCGCTCTTACGCGACGTGGCGCCTACGTGAGCACGTAGGTACGTACGTACGTACGTTCGTACGTTCCGTGTTTGCGCGCGTGCGCCCTGCCTTCAATGCTGGGGACTGGTTGCTTGGCTGGGGTAGTACTTGTTACAGGTATCGGCTGCTTCAGATTCATTTTATGGCTGTCGTCCGCTTTCACATTAGGTCGGGGTTACGTTTCAAGCGGGAAAATGGGGGACTCAGGGCTTGATTTCGTCTTGCCTTACTTTCTAGGTACACGCGTCCTTGTGGGAAGTGTTTGGGAGGCAATGAAGGGAATAGTTTACACCCCTTTGCTCCCTGCCCCTTGCCTTGTACTCCTGCAGTGATCGACTTGTCGTAACCTCTCCTTGCACAGATGACTCCATTGGAGAAGTTTAGAGGGTTGCAGAAATTTCCCTTTCCTTCAGTTACAAGTTTAGTTAGAGTCAGTTCTCAGCCCAGGTCTCCAGACGCTCAGTCCCGGGCTCTTGGTCCTGGTTGCCTTTTCAAAAGGCTGAATATCCCTGGGTATTGAAGATGAATAAAGCCTATTTACCCCACTTCAACCAAATGGCCCTGAAATATGATTTCTGTGTCGTGGACACTAGAAATAGTACTTTAAATAAACTCTAATCCTTTAAAAGAGTGCTTTTTGTAGTTAATATTACGTTAGGAATGCCATGATAGGGTTTGTTTGTTTTGAGACAGGGTTTCGCTGTGCAGTTCAAGCTGGCCTTGGGCTTGCTTTGTAGCCCAGGCTGGTCTCAAATTTGCAAACAATTATTCTGCCTCAGTCCCCAAATACTGGGATTACAGGAGTGCACCATCACTCCCGGTGATAATTTTGATTATAATTGCTTTCATAAATCAAATAAATCATCGGTTCACTTTGTCTTCTAATATCTGTAAGGTAGTTGCAGTCTGAAAGATGGTTTGATGATGAAATATAAATTAACGTGATCTTATGTTTTCTGTGCTCATTAGTGCACATCAAGCACCTAAAAGAACATCCAGGGTGCCATTAGACTCTTAATCTATTTAAACAATGATTATTTCCTGGCTGTTTTGTGGTTTGTTACAGGAATGTGTGTGTGATCATCCGAAATCTCAGCATGTCAAACTGCTTAGGAAATTTCCTGAAAGTTGCAAGCACTCATCTTCTACATTCAAGGTTGTGCCAGCAGTTAATAAGAAATAAAAGGAGGTTTTTTGGAACTGCGCCAACATCCAGATTGCATAGGCGGGTTGTCATTACAGGGATTGGCTTCGTCACTCCTCTTGGTGTTGGAACTCAGATAGTATGGGATCGTCTTCTCCAGGGAGAGAGTGGAATTGTTTCACTGGTTGGTGAAGAGTATAAAAATATCCCTTGCAGTGTTGCTGCTTATGTGCCAAGAGGTTTTGATGAAGGTCAGTTCAATGAGCAAAACTTTGTGTCCAAGTCAGATGTCAAATCCATGTCTTCTCCCACCATCATGGCCATTGGGGCAGCAGAATTAGCCCTGAAAGATTCTGGCTGGCATCCTCAGACAGAAGGTGATCAAGTGACTACGGGTGTTGCAATCGGGATGGGAATGATTCCTCTTGAAATTGTTTCTGAAACTGCTTTGATGTTTCAGACAAAAGGGTACAATAAAGTCAGTCCATTTTTTGTCCCTAAAATCCTGACTAATATGGCAGCAGGCCAGGTCAGTATTCGACACAAATTCAAGGGCCCTAATCATGCTGTATCCACGGCCTGTACCACAGGAGCTCATGCTGTGGGAGACTCTTTCAGATTTATAGCCCATGGAGATGCTGATGTGATGGTGGCTGGAGGTACAGATTCTTGCATTAGTCCTTTATCGCTTGCTGGGTTTTCCAGAGCCCGAGCTCTGAGCACAAACCCAGATCCTAAGGTGGCATGTCGACCGTTTCATCCAAAGAGAGATGGTTTTGTAATGGGAGAAGGTGCAGCTGTGCTGGTGCTGGAAGAATATGAACATGCTGTTAAAAGAAGGGCCCGGATCTATGCAGAAGTTCTGGGCTATGGACTCTCGGGTGACGCTGGTCACATAACTGCCCCTGATTCTGAAGGAGAAGGTGCCTTAAGGTAAAGATTGATTGTTTTGTGGAAAATATTTTTAACGTAAGAGTCTGTTGAACTCTGAAATTAGAGAAAGTTGTAATTTCTTGGTACACAGTATTGTTTTTCCATTTTAGGTTAACCAATTTGTTTTTTTAATTTTTTTGCTTGAAATCTTTGAACAGTTCTACAAAAATTAGGTTTTAATTAAGGCTGTTCAGGTTGTAAAGATGACTGTATGTCTTGCTACTTTTCCAGGCCTCCATTTGTGTTTAATCAGTGTGCACCTTCTCACTTTGGTACTTTCTTCCCTTCATCAGACTTAGAGAGTAAAGTCAACACTTCTAGGTGTAGCTGGTCTGTGCTCCATTCCACTAAGGTTCTGTTGTTCTCAAATTATCCTTCTCAAACTTTAATCACCCAAGGATCTTACTGAAATGCTGATTCTGACTATAGGTCTGGGGTAGCTCTTAAGATTCTACATTTCTAATAAGGTCTTAAGTAATAGTGATGCTACTGGTTTAAAGGCCACAGTTTGAAAAGCAGCTTAACTTTTGTAGAAGAGGTAAGAAACCACACAGAAAAATCTTTATCATGTCAGAAGAATTCTAAATAAATACAGAAGCCAAAGAACAAACGAATCTAAAAATAAAATCTTCTGGAGTAGCTTTTGAAAACCTGAATGTTATCTGGGCTTGATGGCAGACACCTATAATTGCAGTAGAACTGCCATGAGATTTTTCTGTGTGTGTGGTTTTTTAGAAGCAGGGTCTGGCTGTGTAGTTCAGGGTTGGCTTTAAACTCGTGATCCTCCTGCCCCAGCTTTCTGAATGCTAGGATTACAGGTGTGTATGAACACACCCAGCAAATAAAGAAGATTTATTTGAAAGGTATTTGACATACCAAAGTAGTAGATTATTGGGAAACATGCAGTTTTGTATTTATTCATGAGAGAAAACTTGGAACATAGTTGCAGATATTTTAATTCTTCAGCTTCCCTTTTTTCATGAAAAATTCCTAGAAGAAAATTATTGTAGTCTTCAGTCAACATGATAATTTTCTCCAAGGGAAAAGGAAAAGCCATTCCAAAAAAATGGGATTATATTTTATTTGAGATGATATAGTTTTTGGTGTGTTCAATTCATGGTGATGAATCAGTCCAAGGAATTGGGTGTGATTAATTTGACAAAATTTGATATTCATGGTAATTAAGTTAGGATTCATAGGATGCCTGTTTCTTTTGCACAAACCATTGAGGTAAAGAAACCGTTAGGTAAACTAGTTCTAATAAATTAAATACTGTTTTCTTGTTAGATGTATGGCTGCTGCTCTGAGAGACGCGGGCGTCCAACCTGAAGAGATATCCTATGTCAATGCACATGCTACTTCTACACCATTGGGAGACGCTGCAGAAAACAAAGCTATCAAGCATCTCTTCAAAGACTACGCTTACACCCTTGCAGTTTCCTCAACAAAGGGAGCCACAGGACACCTGCTGGGTGCTGCAGGCGTGGTCGAAGCAGCTTTCACTGCACTAGCTTGTTATTATCAAAAACTGCCACCTACTTTAAACCTAGATTGTACAGAACCAGAATTTGATCTCAATTATGTTCCACTAAAGGCACAAGAATGGAAAACTGATAAAAGGTGTATTGGACTCACCAATTCCTTTGGTTTTGGTGGTACAAATGCAACACTTTGTATTGCTGGCATGTAGGACAAGTTGTGTATAATACTGGCTTTTAACTTGTAATTATAGAAATTATATATAAATATATATAGTTACATTAACATTACTGAAATACCTTTTATCTATATTAAGGTTTCTCAATCTTGGGACTCTTGGTATTGCCATGAGATAGTTCCTTGTTGGATAAAGGAGGGCTATCTTGTGCATTGTAAGATGTGTAACAACATCTTGGTCTCGTCCTACTAGGTTGCAGTAACCGCTCCTTCCCTAATCATGACAACTAGAACTATCTATAAATATTTCCACATGTTTTCTGGAAGACAAAATAGCCCACCCATGAGAACTGTTGATCTGTTATCCTAATAAACTCCCCAAGTTCTTGGTTTCCTAAAAGACGAGAGTAAAAATGAATTGTATTTCTTATTCTTCTTGTATTTATCCTGGCACCAACTAATTAATGGAGATAGAGATCTTTGAAATAGAAATTGTTGGTGACTCAGAACACATCTCAGGCTGTCTCTGTGCAGGTATGGTAGTGTATGGTATCCTGTGTTCCTCCAGCTTCCCACCACAGATGCTAGAGGTTTTGCTTTTCTGCCTTGAGAATTTCTCTAAAGCTAAAGGATCCAGCTCATCTGTAGAAGGCTGGAAGTGCTTGGGGTTGGGGTTTGGTTCATCAGAGGCATGGCTCAGCCAGTGAACGTGACACTTGGTAAGTAAATACCTCAGCCTCTCTTTAGAGGAAGAGCTACCATTAAGGGTTCCAGTGAGCTGCGGCACTGCCCACAGCATTAACCAACTCAGTAATATCCCCCTTCCTGGCTTTTTCTTTCCTGTCTGGTTTTTTTGAGACAGAGTCTCACTATGTAGTTTAGGGTGGCTTTGAACTGGTTGTGATCCTCCTGCCTTTACCTCCCTATTACTGGGATTTTAGACGTGTGCCACCATGCTCAGCTTCTCTTTCCTGATTTTTAATACCAGTCCTAAACCACCTTTTCTCAGGCTGTGCTTTTTGGGTGATTCAAATTAATAAATTTTTTTTTTTTTTTTTTTGTAACAGTTTATCAGTGAAAAGGGATAAATGTGTGTGTTCTAGCACAAATGTGTAGAATTTTCCACATTTTAGTGAGCTATATAGATTGTCTTGACTGTAACACTATCCCTATACGCCTAACACTCCAGCCATGTGTTGACATAGTTTTAGGATTTATATCTAGATGTCTCCCAAGAACCTCATACTCTGATAAGTGGGGCTTTGGGGAGGTAATTGGGTCACAGGATCTGGATGCTTATATGTGGATTAGTTCATTGATGAGTAATTAAAAATGATTTAGGAGGTGAATCCTGATTGGAAGAGGTGGGTCACTGAGGATATGGCCTGAAGGATCTCTGTGCTTTCCTGAGTCCTCTCTGATTTCTTTCTGCCATGCTGTGAGCCACCCTGCCCTGGAGCCAGCCTACTGTGGACCGAAACCTTTACAATCTATAAGCCTTTCTTTTGGTTTGTGGGTGTTGAGTGTTATGTCTCAGGGATGAGAAAGTAAGATACACAACCATATAATCAGCTTTAATTTCCACTAACACAGTGGTTCAGCTGAAAGTTACTGGGTACTAGCATAGAACTGACTGTACTGGTCACCAGTGATAAAGGGAATGTTCCAGGGAAGATTTTGTAAAGGAACGTGTGTATGTACGTGTGTACATATAGGTCTTAGGTTAAAGGGGAAGATGGGAAAGGAAAGATATTCTAGCCAGGGAGAATTCAGTGGGAAAAGGTCTAGAAGTTACAAAATTTATACTAAACATAAGTACAATAAACCCTGGAGAGGAAGATGAGATAATGTCAGAAAATCTGTAGGACGTCAGTTTTGTTAAGTCAATAAGGGTAATGAGAAGCTATTTGAGTTTAGAGATGGTATGATAACTTTGTAAGGTTTTGATTGATTTAGACTAAATTACATTTTAAGCATTCCCGTTTCTTTTGTTTTTGGTTAGGATTGACCTTAAGAGATTTCTCATGGGAGGTTGGAGGATGGAGGTGAAACAGCTGCTGTTTTTTCAGTGTTTGAGAGGGTCTCACCATGTGGCCTAGGCTGGCCTCGAACTCACAGCAATCCTCCTGCCTCAGCCTCCCGAGCACCACTATACCCAGCAGCACCTGCTGTTTTGTAGGAGATCCATGTTGCTTACCTGCTTCCCCTAGATCTTTCTTCAGTATCCCTGATGCCTGAACTGGTATGTGTTTTAATTCCGTGATAATAAAGGACTGTAGCTTCTGCCCTATACTACTCAAATTAGAAGAAACAGCTGACAGGTTTTAGTTGTTCTTGTGTTTATGTTTGCAGGGAACTTTATTTTCATCTTCCCAGCTCCCAGCCTTGAGGATTTCAAATTCCAGAATCAGAAGATCGTAGGTGAACGTAACAGAAGCTGTTTAGCTAGTTCTCAAAATTGTGTAGAATTTTTTTTCTCTATCATAGTAGTTCTGTTTCTCTAATTGAGTCTTAACTGACAAATGTGAAGAAAGGTAAGTTATTAGGGTGACATAGTCCACATTTTCTTTCAGAAATATTGCTCTGGCCCTAGAGTGAAGGAAACTTGATTCTCTCAAGGAAATACAATCAGAAGGAAGTAAAAATCTAGGCTAAAAAATACGGTAGTCTGGATGAAGCAGAATGTCTTGACCCAAGTTTCTACCAAAGCTGGAAATTGTGTTTTTAAAAAAACAACTTTATCAGGGCATTATTTGCATACAATAAATGCATACATTTTCAGTGTAGTTCAGTGAGTTGTTGAACAGGAACGTATGTATTACTACCACTTGTGACAAAATAAATAGCATATCATCCTCAAAATTCCATTGTTTCCCTTTGCCATCAATCCCCTCTGGAGCCTTAGACTATTACTGAAGTTTCTGAGTATAGGTGAGATTTGTTTTCTAAAATTTTATATAAATGAAGCTACACACACAACAATATGTTTCATGTTTTTGAAGTTTATCCATGGTATTGCCAGTAATTCATTCTTGTATTGCTGATTTTTTTAGTCTTTAGTCAATTTAGATACTCTTGACTTTTTCTGTTTCTAATTCCTACTTAGCTAATATTTTAAATTTTCATTTTATCTCACTATTATTTTTAAGTGAATATATATTGCCTCTTGAACAGAACATGATAAGAAGCAACTTTCAAGCAAATCGTCTTTACCCTGAAAATAGCAAATTTAAAGTAGTATAACAAAGGACACAAATTTATGTAGGTTATTGAGATTATTAAACATTTTGCTAGAAATTTGAAAATTTCCTATGGCTCACCACCATGAGTGTATGACTAGTTTTGGATCCAACCATCTCATACTCTTAAGTCTTTACATTTAAAGAAGAAAAGAACTTAATAAAAATAATTCTTAGCTCATACATTAGTTCAGATTCTCTGAGAAATAAATACCAGAGCAGTTTCCCGTGTAAGAAATTTATTGGGAAAGCACCTGTGCAGGATAAAGGAAGAGAGACTGATAAAAGCCTGAACCCATGAAGAGAGGCACAAGAATAAAAGAAAACTGGGTAAAAGGTCTCAGACTGAAGTGTCATTCTATGAATGTTTTGGTCAGTATTTTGGAAGATTAGTACTGAAAATCTCTCAGGAAAGAAATTTTTCACCTATCAGGAATGGACCCATAGCCCTCACTATGCTTGACCACTGGCTGGGAGCTGTCAGGGCACAGGAGGTAGACTGGTCATTTTTCATGGCCATTGTAACCTATCCCTTGCCTCACAGAGAGAAATCTATCCAAGAAGGTTTGGTGTGTGGGGTAGCTTCTTTGTGGTTCTTGTTGGCCTGTCTTTCTAAGCAACAGTTTTTAGAATATAGAATTTGGTAGGGTAAATAATAACCCATGATGCTGCAGTTAGTCTAAGTTCTATAGGTAATATTAATCTTCTAAATCTACTATTCATTCCCACCCTCATTTATCATCTTGGCAGGTCTGGTGGCTCCCCTGAAAATGTGGTCTAAGCCTTTATTCCTATATCCTTTTCCTCCTGGAATATATTCTCTTTCCAAGACCAGGATGTCTGATACTGTAGATAATTAGAGTTGCAAAGATCAGAAACGAAATTCCCATTGTGGTTATATCATTAGACATGATGGTAGATAGGGTCACTCCTATTTTCTAACCCTCTGGGTTTTGAACTCATGTGATCTTATTAGAGACTCTCATATTGAGATCTTTGGTTTTTAAATATCTGCTGCATCCTACAGATGGCACCATGTCTATTCAGAACGCTTTCTCTGAGCTGGTGATTCTTTCATGTCTTTAGAAGGCTGTTCTAGTCTCTTTGGGGCTGGTTGCCCTTGAATAGTCTGATATATGGTTCAACTCATGGATCTGATGGTCCTAGGCCTGCCCCCATGAGCTATTTCTTTTCTGTACTTTACACCACCCCCAACCCCTTCCCTGATACTGTTTTAAAAGATTCTGTGCTTGCGGATCAGTTACCTGAGAGGTTGTGGCTGAGGGTCTATAGGCAGGAAAGGATAACCCATATGTGAAATAGGTAGCTATACCCATGAGGATGGACCACAGGTTGTTTGATTTGAGCTAGATGGGCATTCAGAGGTCACACTAGTTGGATCCATCTTGGTAAAGTGGGATTCTATTCTTAGGCTCTATCAGCTTTTATCTCTGCCATTTTCCTTTGTCAGGTGCTGTAGGGAGCCGAGTGACAGGCATTGCTGCCTCGATGTCTCTCTCTCTCTCTCTCTCTCCTATGGGCGCTGCGTCTGCCTACATTAACCATAATCCTCTCCTGCTTACGTCACTTATCCGGATGTGATGGTGACCCTGTTGTATGCATCTGTTTAACCTCTTCCTGTCTCAGTTCCCGCCCTTAGCCTATAAAAGGTGTGATTATTTTCTGAATAAACTGGAAGCTTGATCGGATCATTTCGACTTGCTTTCGTCTCTTTTTGTCTCCCCCATGTCTTTTATTTAATCCCCGTTTCTCCTCCAGGAGTTCCGAACTTGTTGATCTGCAGGCCGGATCAAGGTGCCTTTTGTTGCAGCTTTTGAGATGACCAATGGCAAAGCCTGGCTAAGGTCATTTGGCAGAGTCAATTGGTTATTTACTTCCTCTACTGTAGTGCACACTTTCTGATAGGTACAGATGTGTGATCCAGCAGTATTTACCCTTCATAAACTGTTTGCCATCCACATTCCTCTGATAGTCCTCTGCTTGAAATGGTCCTCTGCTCTACTTACCCTTGTTCTTTTATGTTCTGAACCAAAATCCAGGCCTCTGGCCACTACCCAGAATTTTTGTATATTTTTACCTCTTGGGCCACTTCTTGTGTACAAACCAAGTAACAAGATGCAGGTCTGCCTACTGAGGAAGG